TCTTTTCTTTTTTTTATTTCTGCTTTTTGTAACATGTCCCAGATCTGCATGGATTAGAATAATCAACAGATACTGAATCTATGACCAAACATACAGACTTTTTAAAATGTCATGTCGCAGATTACAGTGAATGATTCAAAAGTCACTGAATCTTAGAATGTTTGTTTCACATGCAGGAAAAAATAAACTGGAAGAATTGAATGTAGGCTAGAACATTAAAGCTTAAGAATATATTTTAGTTCTGATTTACTGATCAATAGTAATCAAACGAATGTCATAATGAGCAATTTTAAGGATGTGATTACCATACCATTGTTCCTCTGTTTCCATGTTGTAACCAAGTTTTAACCTTTTGCTACTCTTATTATGTATTACAAGTTAAATCCAAGACTTTTGATAACAATGATAACTTTTAATCCGGTTCATTTCAAATACATATAAATTATAAATACTTCCTGTTAGAATATAAAATTGTGCCAATATGTGCATTTGTACAACTGTTTTTAGTAAATGGTACACCATTTACTGCTCATAAAAGCACCTTCAAAAACAAGGAAGAGAAAGAACGGTTTTACCAACAAGGTGTCAAGAATTAATGATGAGAATATACCAAAGAGCTTTATGTCTGCAACAAAAAGACCCAACCTCCCAAGAATGATGAAGAAAGGGAAGCAGAAATGGGACCAGCTGTTCTGTCCCAAGCCTCCACAATATATACCGACACAGACTTGGCTGTCTGCCACAACTAAGGAGGGGGATAAGCAACCCCTTGTATGGAGGCCCAGAAAGCTATCTCTATGAAACAAGGCTTGAACTCATGAAATTCTCCCAATCTTTCCCCTGTCATCGTCCCACCTATAAGCTCTCCGGGAGGGGCCAATCTGTTCCTTCTGTGACCCTTTTTCCAAAGCTGCTCCCTCCTCCTCACAGTGCTACACCAGGGACAGCCTCCCTCTGTTCTTCCTCACTGCTCCCTGACTCAGACGCCACCTGGTGGCCAACAGACCTCTCTAGTCCCTACTCTGACTCCGAACACCCCTCCCCCCAGCCTCCAGGGCAGTCCCATAGTGTTCATTGCTGTCAGATTCCACCAACAGCTCAGCCGGCCACTGTTGGGCCACAACACCAGCTATCCTTTAGGAAGAAGTCACGTGGGCAATAAGCCAGTTGCCAAACAAGAAGGCCCAAAATATTGAACCATCCCTGAGGTCTGCACTATCCACATCCATCATAGCTTTATGCCAGAAAATCTGTGAAATGAACTCAAGGCCACAGGATTGGAAATGATCAGTATTGATTGATTAACCAAAACCAATGATTCTTAAGGATTATTCTCATTTCCACACAATTGCCCTTATCAGATATACTAGCCAGATTCACCTTAAGATCATACAACAATATCCCACACCGTATTTTTCGGAGTATAAGACACTCTGAAGTATAAGACGCATCTAGATTTTGGAGGAGGAAAACAAGAGAAAATATCTGACTCTGCCTCCCAGCAATTTGCCTCCTAGCAACAAACAGTACAGATGATATACACTGTAGTGTTATATTTCAGACTATACTTGTACAGATGTTGTTAAAATTGATGTGCTTTCTGGAAGTATAATTATTCTCTGCTATTTAAAAGAATAGCACTTTTTAAAACAATAGCACTGAGCCTCTTCAGATCAAGCATTTATTTTAAAAAGCTTCTTCATTTTGTTAAGTTGTGTAGAATAATATTAAAGCAGTCTTTAAAAAATAAGTCTAATATAATTTGAACATTCTATAGGCATTTATAGGTGTTGACTTACCTCCTTCCAGCAAACAGCCTGATTAGCACAAGAAAAAAAAAAGCTGCCTCCTAGCAATTTGTCTGGTGGATCGAACAGCAAGTTTCACTTTCAATTTCTCCCTATAATTAGCTGTTAGAGGCTGCAGAGATTGCTATAGCTTATTGAAGCCTCCACAAGCCCCTGTTTTCTGCAAAGAGGTAAATTGCTGGGAGGCAGAAGACAAGAGTTGCAGCAGATGGGTGGGTGGGGCTACATTCAGTGTATAAGACACACCCAAATTTTCACCCTCTTGGGGGAGAAAAAGGTGCATCTTACACTCTGAAAAATACGGTAGTATCTGAGCATCAAGACTGGACTACTGCAATGCGCTCTACATGGGGCAGTCCTTGAAGAGTATTCGGAGACTTCAGCTCATCCAGAATGCAGCCGTGTGAGTGATTGTGGGTGCACCTCGGTACACCGATGTTACACCTATCCTCCGCGAGCTGCACTGGCTACCGATTGGTCTCCGGATACACTTCAAGGTGCTAGTCGTCACTTATAAAGCCCTTCATGGTATTGGACCTGGGTACTTGAGAGACCGCCTGCTGCCAATTACCTCCCAAAGACCCATTAGATCACACAGGGCTGGCCTCCTCCGGGTTCCGTCTACTAGCCAATGTCATCTGGCTACGACCCGGGGGAGGGCCTTCTCTGTGGCAGCTCCGGCCATTTGGAACGAACTCCCCGCAGAGAATCGGACCCTCACCTCTTTCCAGGCCTTCCGAAAAGCCGTTAAAACCTGGCTGTGTCAGCAGGCCTGGGGTTGATGAGTTCCCTTCCCCTCTCGATTTGTGTGGCTGTTGGTCATTTTTTTAAAATGCCTGTATTTGTTGTTTTGTTGTGTTTCCCTTTCCCCTTTGGGTTTGTGCGCCGTCCTGAGTCCCATCGGGAATAGGGCGGCATATAAATAAAACGAAACCTAAACCTAAAGAGAATTACTGAAGCTCAAACTGGTTTCAGGATCAATATAGCAAATTATGCTAGAGCATGGAAAAATCTTAAGAATATCAAAAGAACATTTTACATCTGCTTTATTGACTAAAAGAAAACCTTTGATTGTGTTGATCATGATAAGCTGTGGAGAGCCCTAGAAGACCTGCGGTACGATCAATCTGACCAAGTTGGTGCAGTTGCTGAACACAAATCAGGAAGTCATTGTATGAACATCATATGGACACACACAGACTGATTGAAGAAAGAGGAAGAAGTGCTTCAAGGTTGCATTTTTTCACCTTTTTTATTCAACCCGTATGTCAAAATGATCATGATAAAGCTGGAACTTGAAGAATCAAAAAAATGAGTAAAGATTGGAGGAAGGAACATCAACAATCTTTAATATGCTAAATATAATCATATCCTCAGAAACCAAAAAAAGACTGGAAAATTGATCAAAAAGATTAAAGAAGAAAGCAAGATATTTGCTGATGATCTTATGATCTTCCTGAACATATAAAAGACTAAACTCATGACCACTACAAAAACTAGAAATGTGTAAATAACAATCAATAGTGGAAAAATTGAACGTATGCAAGAATTCACTTTCCTAGGATCATTAATTGATCAAAGTAGGGAATGAAGTCCAAAAATAAAGTATATAATCACATGTGTCACCCAACATTGATGAATATAAATTGAGTATGGAAAAGCAAGGACATCAGGCTGGCAAATAAATGCAAATTAATATGCACTATTGTGTGCTCCATTACTACTTATTGTTGCGAAAGTTGGACCATGGAAAAACTAGATAGGAGGAAATTCGACTCGGTCAAGCTATAATGTTGGAGCAGTTCCTGTACATTCCTTGTACAGAAAGGTGACAAACAAGCAAGTACAGGAGTGTATAAAATCAAATATCTCACTGGAAGGCAAAATCACAAAATTCTATCTTACTTATTTTTGCCATGATGCAATTCACTGGAAAAGGCAGTTATGCTCAGAATGGTCAGTGGTAAAAGAAAAGAAGCTGCCAAAAACATGGCTAGACACCATCAAAGCTGATACCAGAGCACAAAACAATTGAAAGAAGCCATTCAAGATTTGAAAATGTGGAGAGAGTTGGTCCATAGATTTGCCAAGTATCAGAAAACAATTGAGCAGAAAGCATCAGTACAGCTAGTTTTACAGAATTGAGAACTATTGTGCATGTTTTTGATGTAGCAAATGTTTTTCATGTACTTATGGTTGTAGTACAAAATAAGACATATGACATGTCAGAAGGAAAACTCTGGATACATTAGTTTCCCCTTTTGCTTTTATTAAGATGACATAAATCTACTGGAAGAATTAAATACCACTAATGTAAACTCTGATTTTGTGGAATATGTTTGCAACTGCAACTTTATTTGAAATGTTGGAATTAGTTAAAAAGAGAGAGAGTAGATGAATCATTCTAAAATTAGTGGCAGGAATAATTCATGTGAATTTCAAGAAAGACAGTAAAAATCAAGAAACGTGAACTCATAGAGCTAATAAGAGATATATTTGTTGTGTCTATCTTCTCACCTTGAAATGTGACTTAAAGTACAATTGGGAAAGTTTACCTAATGCTGTTGAGAAGGATGAGATGGCAGCAGATGTAATACATGCTCTTTACCTGCCAGTTATAAGAAATACCACTATGTTGCCTTTCAGGAGCTGGCTAATCTTGATCCAGGAGTAAGGTATTTTGAGTTGATGAAGTGCAGAAATAGGACAAAAGGAAAGAATTAAGCTTTTGCACAAATATAAACAAGAGGTAACCATGTCACACATAGTTCACTGAGAGCTAAAATGTTCCAGTTCCTTAACTTCATTGATTTATTCTTAGTGCAGATATGCAGGATTAGTGACAGCATTGCTCCTCTCTGTGACTATTAATGACCCTAATACTTAGGAACCGTAAGGATGAACAAGCTGAAAAAATATTGGTATTCACTATGTCTACTAGAAATTATATTTCAACAGGTTGGTATGAATGAAAAATATTAAGTTTGAGGTGATAGGTGGTTACTTGATTATGAATCATTGAGGATTAAGCCTTATCCATGGATTGGCCCATGGGAGGGAGTAGTATGATTTCAAGCAAATGCAAGCTTTATCTGTGCGTTCATTTTCATATGAATTGTATACATAAAAGATTATCCTTTATGTTACTCTTAATATGTTTAATTATTGAGCATACATATGTTTTCTTTATAGTATTTATTAATTCCAACATGGATGGAAGCAAGAAAGCAGACCCTCCAGTTTTAGTGGAAACAAAACAGCAGAAGGCAAATCCTGATCGCCACCCTATGCCATCCATTTATGTACCAGAACAAGGTGGTTACAAAGAAAAATTTGTGAATGCAGTGGAAGACAAATACAAATGTGAAAAATGTCATCTCATTTTGTGCAATCCAAGACAGACAGAATGTGGGCATCGCTATTGTGAGACCTGCATGAGTTCTCTGTTCAGGTTAGTCATTCTTTATATATATATATGAACTGGTTTAAAAAAAATGAAATTTAAGATTTTAAACCTGTATCTCAATTCTTTCTTTCAACTGACACATTAAATAATAATAATGTATGCATTAAGTACTTGCAGAAAGTCTGAGACACAATTCGAAGTAAACATAGGTTAGGTTTGTATTGAGCGATCCATTACTCATATTTAATATTAATTAATAAGGTCACTGTAGATCTTTCCCTCTAATGCAGAGGTTCTCAATCATGACAACTTTTAAGATATATAGTTTTAATTCTCAGAATTTCCCATAAGTAGCTGGGGAATTCTGGAAGTAGAAGTCCATATATTTTGTATTTGCCAAGGATGAGAAACATTGCTCTAATGTTATGCAACACTTCAAAACATTTCTAATTCCTGTTGCTTCCAGAGCACCTTAGAAAAAGCATATGTATTGTTATAAATAGAAGCCACTGCTCTTCCATGAATTAGGAGATGATTAGAATTGCATTGACCATTCTGATTATTTACATCTATAATACAATATTGAAAGAGTGTTATCTGCAGAAGAACATTTGAACTCTTTCCCCCAACCCAAAAGTAGGATAGCAATGAAATATCCAAGGAATAATTTAATTTTAAATTGCATGTGTGTGATGGTGATGGTTGATACAAAGCTTACAGGAATTTGAAATATTGCACTGAGACTGAAAAATCGAAACATCTGTAATTACTGAATGGACAGAAAACATCAATGTGACTTTTACAGATGTATAGGAAAAAAAAGAAATTGAAGGCTTTTACAGTAGCTCGGGTTCAGTTATTGTTCTTGGTAGGTCCTAATTACAAATTTCTGCCATTAGGTTCACTGCACAGATTTTAGATATTTTGTCGTCCTTGATCCATCCTTAAATATACAGATATCAGAAATGTATCTTCCCGATTTTCCTTATAAAAGTGATTTTGTATTACAGCTTTCTAGCTGATCGTTTTCTGATATAAAATGTTTAGCATTAGTATATTACCAAAATATTTTCTGTCAGAAAATAATAAATGAATATAAATTTAAATATATAAAATCTGAAAAGAACAGAAGGCATTTTAGTACCTAACATCGTCCTGGCATTGTTGCTTTACATGCAGTGGCCTTCCTGAACAATGGATTTCAAAATATTATTTTCGATGATTGTATTTTTTTTTCTTTTTGCAACTACTAAAATAAATGACAGATGTGCCATAATGATGATTTTCATAATAGTTTTTCCTTCCCATTTCTGGTGTTCATGTTAGCATTCAGTGATAAAGCTGTGAAGCTTTAGTACTTCTTTGGGTCATTTGAGGATACAAATACAAGAACTACCAATGATTTCTCAGTGACGATTACTGCTCAGTAATCTCTACGACATAGCAGTTCAAGAGAACAAACAAGACGCTCAAGTAGATTCAGCACGGACTAGAAAACGATGCGACCTTTCTGCTATTTGGTCTGCTGCAGAATGTAGTTTATAGCATTGTGCTTGTACCCGAGGAACAAACAATAAAGGAAAAAAATACAGCCAGTGCAGAACTGTTGCTTTTAAAATATAAGGTTTCAAATGGACTAAAAATGGTCAAGGACTGTAAAGATGGTAGCTGTTATTCAAATGCTGGACAAACAATTCAGTGTGGTATTATAACAATTATTGCTCTATTTTAAACAAATGCCATCGCAAATACTTGGTTGTCCACACACCATGCAAAAATTTAAAAAACACACATGACAATCATTAAAAAAATCTATGTAGCAGAAGGCAAACTAGTAAAGTTGTTTCCTTCTCACTTCTTCTAATCTCTTCTACTGATAACTACCACCTCAGCTTAATTCTCTCTCTTTCCAGACCAATGGCATGTTTTTCAGCTAAAACACTACTCTAAATTTTTAATCTCCAAGAATAAAATAGACCTCTCTGGGACCCAAAGATATTGCTGCAAATACAGATTGTATTTGAGATTGATGTTTTGCTTCCTATTTATTTACTTTAATAGTAAAGAATGTAGAAAATTGGTGGAACAAATACCTTGGCAGATGCCAAGAAAGGTATACCGAAGTCTGTGGGCTCCCATAAGTGTCACAAACAGAACCTGTGATTTATGTGTTGACATACAAGAACAATGAAGCAGTTGTGTTTATAAAAACGTATCCTGAATTGCAAAAATCAAAATTTACATTAATAGTAATATTGCTCCAGTCTAGTTTCTCTTTGCTTTGTATCTATCTCCTTGGTCTCTCTGTCAACATACATCACAATGTCATTAATATTAGTCCACTCATCTCCACATCATTTCTCCCATTTTCTGATTTCACTCTCTCTCTCTCCCTCCCTCCCTCCCTCCTTCCCTCCCTCCCTCCCTCCCCCTCTCTCTCTGTAATTATATCTCTATAAAAAATATTATCTAAAATCAAGGGTATTTTTTCTCTTCTAGTTCTACAAGTCCAAAATGTACAGCATGTCAAGAAACAATAGTGAAGGATAAGGTATAAATTTCCCCCATAATTTTGCCATTTTGCGTTGCTGCTGTTACTATTACTAGTGTAACAATACTTTGGTTTGGTTATATTTTGAAAATCCATTAGAAAAGGGCTTTGTGGTATGTAAATGAATCTTTGCATTTCTTAGCTGCAGAGTTTTTATGAATGCAGTTATTGAATGAACAGGTCTTTTTTTAAAAAAAAATTCTGGGTTTTCCCCCTGTGGCTTTCTCTAAAGCTTCACCTATTCAATGGGTTGTAAATAGTACTTGCCATTTTATTTTTATAATGTATTACACAAATAAATAATAAGGTTGGCAACAGACTTCTTTTTGAACAAATACAGGTGGTCTTCGACTTATTATCACAATTGAGCCCACAATTTTCATTGTTAAGTCATGATGGACATAATGTGGATCCGCATCCAACCTTTTCTGCGGTGGGCATTAAGCAAACCCATTGTTCGTAATGGGGCTTTTTTTTTTTGCCAGAAGCTGGAAGTAAGTGCCAGAAATTAGAACTTAAATCCAGGTCAGAAGTCCCTTTTTTGAGATCTTTTATAATGTTGAATGATGCTCAGTTGTCTATAACTACATATACAAACGTTTCCTCTGACAATACCCATTAAGGGAAGCTGTTCTTTATAAATGTACATGCATGCAGATAGCCAAAGATAAATGTCCAATCCCCAGAGGCAGCAGGAGGAAAACATTTAACACTAAGGCCTTCAAGAATAGATATGATTGCTCTTCCACAAGGAAGCTGCTTTGCATTATGAGTATATGGCATGCACACATGACTGGGAAAATACTGAAAAATTAAAAATGAGGAAGCATACAGTCCAGTATCCTTGCCCATTTAGTGCCTTTAGTTGTACTGCGTATCTACTCCACAGAAACTGAAGCCTTGGGAATCCTGGCATTTGCACCCTTAACATTTGAGGAGACTAGGTTGGAGTTCAGTTTGCTCTTTGCAATATTGGCCAACCAAACTCACTGACAGACACAAAGAAAGATATTATATATTTCCTGTGATAACCTCCAGCTGATATTCAGAAGGTGATTGGGAGTTCCATTGAGCAGACATGACCAATTGAATTTTGCACTAGTAAAAAAAATGTGTATTTTTCATTTTAAAGAAGAGTTCAAATCAGATTCTGGCAATTGAAAGTTAATACCATTTAGCTCATGTTTCTTTGTTGAAAAAACAAGTCCAAATGTTCTGCTACTATATAACAAAATAATAGGGTGCTTTAGAGGTTGTAGTACTACTTTAGTGCCTGAACTGCTCTTCTATGACATTAATTTTGATTTTACCTGCTATAGCTCTTCCTTTATATATATATTTTAATCTGGACTTCAAATTGAGCTGGTTGTGTAGCATTTATCATACAGAACATTGCTTAGTGCACAATCTTGTTATCTTATTCATTTCTCTGCTCCTTAGTCACTTGTGACAGATCCTTATTACTCTTTATAGATATTTTTATTGCCTCATAAAATCTACTTTAAAACCAGTAAGCATTGACATAAGGTCTGCTTTTCTATATATAGTCTAAACTCACTTTATACATTTTGTGTCCATATGTATTCCAATAAGAAGAGGGTAGACAGTCCTGGGAAATATACTTTGCTTCAGCTGTATATGTGACAGCTATGAACTTAGAGAACTATTGGAACAATTCAAAATCAGTCTACAGCTGTATAAATAATATATGGCAGGGGTCCACAACCCCTGGGCCGTTGCCCACTACTGGGCAGTGACCTGTTGGGAACAGGCACACATGCATATACGCAGCTCTTCTTGCATGATCAGTGGGCTGGCACACATGCGCACAGCTCGATTTGCAAAAGTGGTAGGCCAATTTTCTTCTCCCCCCCAAAAAAAACCAGGTCACCAAGCCTTAAAGGTCTGGCAGTTAATCCTTGCATGAGCACAAAAAGACTAGAGTTGAAAGATGTGTTACTTTTGTCACCTGACTCTTTGAAGGGTCATAAGCAGGTAGGAGAGGATAGGTAGTATTTCCAATTTCTATTGAATTATGGTTTTCTACTATAGTTGGTATTAAGAAAAGTTGGAAGTACACAGAAAGTCCTAAAGGTTACTGAAAATTTCCTTGGACTCCATATTTTTTTGTTTAAAGACGTATCTGTAGCAACCAATCTTTAATGTGGAAAAAATGTAATTGCAATTTTCTATGGCTAAAATGGGGTATTTGTTCATTTTCTCACATTTTGGACTGAGTCAAAAAATAGCTCAACATTTTCAGATTTTACAAAATATATCTTGTTGTGCAAAGAAAAGAGAAGTTCTTGTATTGTCAGTTTGTGGCTGTATAGCAACTGCCTTCAAAATTTCTTACTCTTAGAAAATGTTCTAAAATAGTTTGTCAGATTTCATGTGAATTTATGTTTATATATTTTAATTCTCTAAGAGAAGTTTATTTATCAGAATGTAGTTATTTGCATCAAGAGGGTTAGTGCCAAAGTGATAAACATTTAGATCACCACTAAAATTATAACTCTATTAAATGTCTGTTAATTCTAGATATTTAAAGATAATTGCTGCCGAAGGGAGCTTCTAGCCCTTCAGATATTCTGTAGAAATGAAAATAAAGGTTGTCGAGATCAATTGACCTTGGGACAGTTGCTGGTAAGTAGCTAGAAACCTTCCAATATGTTTTTGTCTCTCCCTCTCCTTTCATCATTGAATGGTGATTATATGATTTGTGGTGTTAATTGAACCTAAGTTACACATTGCTTTAACAAAGAAACCCACATCAAAGTTGTAATGTATGAAGTAAGTTAAGCCTCTTGACCAGGAGTGTTAAACTAGCGACAACACGTCAACTAAAAATATAAAAACACAGTGAAAAATCACTATTTTTGGATACTAAATTCTTAAGTACTCCACCCCCAATAAACTTTAGTAGTATACTTCTGTCAGTGTTTTGCCAGTGGTCCTGAACTTAGGACCACAATTGAGTACAACATTTCTGTTGCTAAGTGGGACAGTTGTTAAGAGAATTTTACCCCATTTTTACAACCTTTCTTGTCACATTTAAGTGAGTCACTGCAGTTTTGAAGTTAGTAAGGTTGTTAAGTGAATTTGGCTTCCCCATTGACTTTGCTTGTCAGAAGGTTGCAAAAGATGATCACGTGACCATGGAACATAGCAACTGTTATAAATATGAGTCAGTTGTCAAGCATCTGAATTCTTATCATATGACTATGGAGATGCTACATCGATTGTAAGTGTGAAAAATGGTCATAAGTCACTTTTTTCAATGCTGTTGTAACTTGGGTCACTAAATGAACTGTTGTTAAGTCAAGGAGTACCTGTATCATATTTTAGCACTGCTGCTGCAATAAGATTCAGATGTTTCTGGGTGGCAATCTCAAATTCATTGGCAACCAGGCGTTTGTGTTTATTTCTCAGCTGTTAATATAATATTAACTTATATTTTATGCCCAAGGAAAAACAAGGGGGAAAAATATTTTGAATTTCTTGCAATCACTAAATAAAGTTTATAGGATTTATTATCTTTAAATTGATAAATAAACGGAATGTATTATCTTTTGTGTATTGGTGACTTGGTGTTTGTTGGTTTCAGACACATCTAAGAAATGACTGTCTCTTTGAAGAACTCCCATGTCCTCGTACTGATTGTAAAGAAAAAATACTGAGAAAAGATTTACCAGATCATATAGAAAAAAACTGTAACTATCGGGAAACAACATGTAAATACTGTAAAAGCCAAGTACCAATCATTATGATACAAGTAAGTATGCCTTCTTAGAAAGCAGAACAACTTTCCAGGAAACTAACTATGGTGAACAGGGTCTTTTGAAGAATCTGGGAGCCGTTAAGACAGACAGTTCATTCAATGTCATATGCACTCTCTTAATATAATAACAATGAACTTTTTCTCCATTGTTTCTGATTCATTACAATTAGCAGGCTTGTAAATGGGATTGAATGAAAAAAGTCCAAAAGGCTGAAGTCTCCTAAGGTCACTTTTATTGCTTTCATTGAAAAGTGGAAGAATATTTTTGATATGATTATTTCAAATAGATAACCATGATTTGGATAGCAATCTCTCTAAGTATAGGGGTCCAGAGTAATTGTCTCTCTAGAGGCTGTAATTTGAAAGCTGCCTAAACCAGGGGTCTCCAACTTTGGCAACTTTTAAGACTTGTGTACTTCAACTCCCAGAATTCCTCAGCCAGCGAAGCCAAGGTTGGAGACCCCTGTTCTAAACAGTTTACAAACTGGGAAGCATATGCTCTAAGAAATGATGCTGCAGCATTTGAGCTTCATTTAGAACATTTGGAAATTCAGATTTCTTAAACCTTTCATTCTGTTGATTCTAATAAGGAGTACTCAAATGGCTATATTTGTTTGGGGGAAATAACAAACGTATACCATTTTTCCCCAAATCAGAGGGAGTTCTCATACAATAGAGCAAACCAATTGATTTTTCCCGTATGGTCATAAATTTGAGGGCTTAAAAATGAAGAGGGAAGGCGGAAGGAAGCTGTATGGGACTGGGGGATGGAATGAAAGTTATACAAATAAGCTTTGATATTTTTCTGCTTTTGATAATTCAGAAATTTGTAGCCTCTACTTGTTCTGCAAAGTAAGAAATATCAGTTACCTTGAGGATTTGCAATTCAATGAATAATTGACTAGTATTTTTGGCACTGTTTATGATATTTAAAAAATAATAATTTAAAAACAATATCACATAATTGTACATAGGGAAGGGCAATCTTTATCAACCTGATACCTGATTGTATCTGTTAGTTGTAACTTTGATTACCATAGTAGCAATATTAAAACCTTATTTCTTTAGCGATTTCTTTGCAGATTTCAGGATTTAAGGGGACAAAATGCATGCCTGTAGCCTTCTAAAGTCTATATTTTGTACTCAAATTCTCAGATACAAAAAATAAACCCAGTTGTGTTTTGCTTGAAACAAACCTCTGTTTGAAACATTCTGTGCTGCTTACATCCTATTGAAAAAGAACTTGAAACAGCTGAAGGGTCCATGTATTTGTTGGAGCCAAATATGGAATGTTTCAAGCTCTGAATGAAATAGTAAGAAGTGGTTGTGACTGCATTGCTATCTTCTTTTTATCACAGTGCTGCAGAAATAGGAAGGATGCACAGTTGCGGAAAAATCAGCCAGTGTTTTAAAACTATCTGATATAGGATGAATTGAACCATTTCTAGGGACAGAGGGGAGGGGGCAGTGGTAGAGAAAGGGAGAGAGAATAGGAGAGAGGGAGAAATGGTAAGATAGTTGTTAGGGGTAGGGTACTTAATGGATTATTATAAAGTATCCACTTTATTATTGTTCTATAAAACACTGCTATAATCAAGTGTTGTTCTTACAACTACAGACATACACATACACATTAAAAAGTGATATGTACATATATGTCATACATCATCACATTTACATACACACATGCATATACATCTTGCACAACTAACAAGCAAAATGCATTATTAGAAAATTATGTCAGGGTAAGATCATTTGTGCACATTTATTTCCAGATAATGGAATTCAAGATAATGTACATTTTGTTCAAACTTGGAACATTTGAAATGAGAAGCTGGAGGAAGAAACATTTTGTGCCTCTCTAAAAGGCAGAAGTTTCAGTCCTACAAATAAATTCTATTGACAGGTTATAAATTCATGTTATTTGTTTTAAGAAACAACTTCTTCACCATTTTATTTTTTTGTCCAAACAAATAATTATGAATGTACAAGTACATGACATGACTTTTCTTATTGTTTCTTAGAAACATGAAGATGCAGACTGTCCTTCTGTAATGGTTACATGTCCTCATCAGTGCAGTGTTTCAGCACTCCTCAGAAGAGAGGTAAAAAATCATATTGCAAAGCTTTTTATGAAATCAGATAAGCAGAATGTTTTGTTGAAATAGTAATTTGCAGAAGCAGTTCCAATACATTTGAAAAACAAGAGAACCATTCTTTCTATTGCTGACATTAACTTTGAAGGTTCTAAGCTCCCAGAATAAAATGCTGCAATTTTCTTAAATAGATAAGTAAACAAACATCTGCATTGATTGCAACAATTTTTTCCATTTACCCTTATTATATGCTGCATTAAAACTCTTGTCACAGATATCAGAAAAACTTGATTGTGCTTTGTAATGAATGTATTATAAGAGAATTTAAGTGTAGTGTAATTGCTTGGTAAGTTTAGAGCCATTACACTAAGTTCATAATCTCTCATTTTTGCCTTATAACTTACATTAATCAATCAATCATGAGGGCACAACATTTCTAAGAAAGCAGCATACAAACTTTTATTTATTTCCTCCAATACTCTCTTTGATTTGAGAAGCTATTTGTACTAGGAGCTAAAGTAATATACATGTAATGTAATATCTAGCCCAAACACCTACAACCTACATTAAAGATAACTCATTCATACAGGATGAAAATTCTCCTCAAATGAAATTTAAAAACTACCTTTAGAGATAGAGGAGGGGGTTTTGTTTGTTCGTTTGTTTGTTTGTTTGTTTTGGTCTGTCTGAGCAAAAATCAGTACAGGAGATATATTAATCATTCCTTGGCAATACTTCTCCAGTTCTTTTTGGCCATTTTATTCCCAAAGTTCTTTTCCAAATGAACTCCAAAACTGTCTTGGTTTTTTTTAAAAAGCTCTGAAGGTAGATGTTTTAGCATTCCATATCCTGCCAAACAATTTTTCTCTGCAGTTCAAATGAATGGTAATGTCTTGTATTACTGTGCAACTGATTGAAGTAATGTGATGCTTCACCTTCAGTGTGTATAACTATAATCATATTCATTGACCCTAATTAGAAAAAATTATGGTATGATGAGTGTATTTATTGGTCTGAGATTAATATCAATGTCTTCTTTTGATAGAACATTTATTAGAGGTCTACTCGACCCAATGGAAACAGGTTTCAATCCGGGGGGGAGGGGGAACTAACTATTCAGAAGATGTATTTGAATTATGTGTAGAATAAGCACCCCACAATGCTTAGTATTTACACTGAAGTTAATAAGGTTTGGTGGTTTCATTACTGACTGGGAAATAGATTTCAGTCAGAAATAGACTTGTGCACTTCAACTCCCCAAATTCTTCAGCCAGACCTCTATAAACAATCAGGTTTTGTAATAAGCAAGTAATGTTTAGAATATTTAATAAATTCAGAAAAATCATTACAGTTGAATAAAGCTTATATACCAACATCATAGTTGTGGTTATACTTTTGTGGGAGAATTTTATTGAGATTAAATTATAAACAAAGTTTATCCAAAATTTTCTGAAATGGGAGAAGTAGCTATTTTATTTGGTTCGATCTTATTGCTTAAGTCAGCTGGTTTACCAACAGTCAAATAGTAATCTCTTCCACTGCCTTGAAAATTCCCCACTAATATGAAAACTCCAACCAAAAAATATGTGTAGGACAGGGGGGGGCATGAGTGCATAAAAAATGAAGGTAGCTTTCTTTCTATGAAGCTGACCAAGTAAAATTGTGAGGTCTGGAAGGAAAAATAATGTTCAGGAAAATGAATTTGTGCCATTCTCTTTACACTGAATAGATTTTTCTCTAGATGATGTTATTCAATTTTAAAGAATTACTTCTTGAGCAGTATGGATTGGCTGTTGTTCTTTATTTAAAAATTACTGTAGGAAGTTATATTTCTTGGACTTTCTCCCCCTCAACTTCTATAGCATCTTAAAAAAAATTCTTAATCTTTACAAAAATGGAAGCATATCCTATGTTACCTGCAGTTATCCTTATTCTGATGCTGTGAGGTGAAGCTAAAACTGTTTTTTGTCATTCATCTATTATATGCCATAAACAAGAAGTTGATCTGTGGAGATTTTACAGACTCCATGATCCTGAGTCATATCTCCAATAGATGCAAGCAGAGAGCTGAAGAACAAGGCATGTTAGAGACCACTGACATTGTATCAGACAGCCATTGTTTCAGTGTAGTCAGTATTCAGTGATCCTTTAGAGCAGAGGTGTCAAACTCAAGGCGTGCTTAGATCTGGCCTGTAGGCCTGCCCTAGAAAAAGCGAAGGACCAGTCCATGGTGCCTCTGCCAGCAATAATGGAGCTCGGGAGGATCGCACGCAGCCCTGCTGGGCTCTGTTTTCAGCCACAATGGTCTCCTGCAACTTTCCGCCAGTGAAAACAGAGCTCAGGGAGGCTGCAAATGGCCCACCAAGGTTCCATTTTCGGCTGTGACGGCCTCCTGGAGCTCTCTGCCAACGAAAATGGAGCGGCATCCCCAAGCTCTGTTTTTACAGAGTGAAAATGTTGAGTGACATTGTGCTGGCCATGTCCATTCTGGCCATGCCCCCCTGAGCTCAAACACAACCCTGATGTGGCCCTCAATGAAATCGAGTTTGACACCCTTGCTTCAGAGGATCCAAAAGCTTTTTGTGGAATAATAAAGACCATTTCTTTATTTACTATTTGACATATCTACTTTAGTCTCCATTGCTCTTAGATATTAGGATAGTTTTACATATATATCCATATATATATGCAGTGTGAAACAACATGTAGTTACTTAAACAACTTTTATTTCTATGTGCTGTTTTAGTAAATACAAAATTTAATTTACAAATGTACATGTTTGTTTCATGCAATATTTGTTTAAAGTCTCTGTCAAAATGTTCTATTTTCTTATCACTGGAATTTTGCATGAAAATCTGTTTTGAATTAAAATTTGGGAAGCAGCCTGAGGGGGAAGGATGTGCATTAATACAGTGAAACCTCTATCCAGAATGATTGGCCCACAAGGTTACTTAATGTGCCTTTTGAAAAATTGGCTTTTCGATAAAAACACACTGAAATCCTTTTGAAATTAGCTGAAATGATTATTTGATTAGGTTTCACTGTAAATGTGTCAATTTGTATATTCCACTGGAATGTTCCTGTGATTACATGTGTATGTGTATACTCTCAAGTACAACTGGAGGTAATATGAACACATGGTTTTAAAATAAACTAAAACTAATCAACCACAATGCAAACCTATATTGCATTCCCTATATATTTTTAATCTTATTATGCATACATTTTCCATCCCCCCAAAAAAACTCACATTTTTTTCCTATTACAGTTGAATGCACATTTGTCAGAATGTATTAATGCCCCAAGTACCTGTAGTTTTAAGCGTTATGGCTGCACTTTTCAGGTCAGTATATAATGATTTATATACTTGATGAAAGTCTGCAATAAGAAAATATTATTAATAACTCTCTGGACTGGACTTGATGTCTCTTGTTATCCATGAAGAGAAAATGCATCCAGTTGCTTGAGTGATTAAAAGCTTCGTATTGGATTTATAGTAATGTCCTTTTTCTTTTTTTTCATACTATAGAAATTTAAATGGTTTCAAGAACTTTGAATATCAAATTTAGAATATGAAAGACACATTTTTAAATTCAATAAAGCAGACTTTAATTGTTTCAGCTGTTTCAGCGATACATTTTTTCTTTAGAAAAGAAACATTTCAATTCTTCCTGTTTGAGTGGAATGAAATTCATAGCAAGCTAAAAACGTGTATAACTTCCACTGTTGTGAATTTCGCTTGGATATGTATTCCACATACAGTAGATTCAGAATTTAGTGGATTGTGCTCAAGAAAACTAAACATATTAGCCCAGTACAAATCTTTTAGAAATATTATTGTAAGTGCGAACAGACTTGTCTAACTCTTTTGACAAAGTTAAATTGGCAAAAACAAATTAGTGTAGTAGAAGATGGGCTCTTTTTTTAGCAAGGCTATGTTATGTATATAATTTAAGTTGTGCAGTACATGTTTTTCTGTAAATTGCTTATTTGGTATCAGTGTTAAATTCCAACAAGAGAGTTATATTAAAAAGGCTAAGGGTAAAGAGTAGCTCACTGAAGTAAAATCCCTGCATGTCTTTTTCTCTCTCTAATCTATCTTGTAGACATGTGACCTGTGGCTTAACCTTATTTATTTGAATATTAACTGCCCTTTTTAAAATCTAATGTTGAATCCACAAAATACTTTGTCCCCCATAGTTTAACGCTTTTCAATATTTTGGAAAGGAAGGGTACTGTAATCCAAGTTCCATACAGAGCTATCATTCTCACTGTTTAAAATGGGGCTGTATTTCCATGTAATGATGCTATAAGATCAGTAAGGAGTAACAAGACAAATAAACTATTTTCTTCTAAAAGGCTCTAGACACCAAATAGCTTTGAGTGATAAAATAAAAACATTAAGTGGTTTGCATGTAACACATTTGCTCTAAGAAGAAATAGACTGTGATGTTAGCATTGCTTCCCATTCCTTCTTTATTTTTATGTTGTGTGTTTGAAACTATATGTGTTTACCTATAGTTTGAATATATTAAAACACAATGTACATATTGACATAAGGATACTACATTTGCAACTTATTCTACATAATAATACTTTATCAAAATGGTATGTGTACTAAAGTATGACATAAAGGAAAGGCAAATGCAGCTTTTTCCTTAAGTACTCCATATTATAATTTCTTTTTCAATTGTATAAGATGCAGAACTATATTGTGTCTACAGCACTGAAGTGTTCTGTACATTCCTTAGAGTAGGGAATTTTATTTTATTAAAGCAGGCAGTGCTGCTATTTCAGGGGGTAGATGAATTGGGTCTGACTGTTTTCAGTCTATTCAGCTCAAACAAAAGCATTTTGATAACCTAGAAATTTTGATCCAGTCCATCAAGTTTTGTTGTGGAATTTTAATATAACTAAGAAAATGACTGCTACAACTGTTGCCCTTAAAACCACACTGTTAATAATGTCCAACTGCTTGTCCTTCCTTTCTTCTGTCATGGATAGAAGGTAATTGAATTGAAACTCAATTTTTATAACTTCATGGACATATCCATGTAGTTTTCTTAACAACAGTAATGATATCATATGGCATTGCCTTCTCCCTCCAAGCTTATAGGTCTCAGATCTGCTGGCGATCAGTGGCAGCCCAGCTGACCTTCACCAATCTTAACTGACTAATACTTTGAGATTGGTGCTGCCACAGAAATTTAAAATCATACAAACATCTCAGAGCCAATAGTCTTGTTATCTCATCACTCCATAACCAACTAGATTTTTCTAGAAAAAAATCATATTTTCCTTTTCTTCCATGGAAAGTGGTATATAATTGCCATTAATAACTTTATTAACGGTGAATTTGTCTAGACTCCCTTTAAGTTTATGTCTGTCATATCATATAACAGTGGCTCTGTAAAACATTTTTGGTTTGTCTGACTGAGAATCTCTTGTAAATTATCTTAATTGGATATCTCCAGTTTTACTAGGATGAGAAAGAGAAAAATGTCATTTCCTCTACTCATTTCTCTATAACCATGTACAAAGATAGAAGCACCAGCACCCACTAGTTGGCTTTAATATAAGGTGCTCTCCCAGGAGAGTTTGCTGTAAAGATAAGGGAACTTAACATTTGCATGGGAAAACAGTGAAAGGAAGAGATGGTTTAATTGAGAATGAATGGATGTTCACAATTAATCAGTTAAAAGAAATATTGTGAACACTACAGCAAGGCAGGATTTTTGACCCTTTTTGAGGTAATTATTTGCTATTGAGCAGCATTTCTGTAACATTTTACTTTTAAAAAATATTCTATGTAACCTTCAGTTAGATAAAAGATTCTGAAATGTGATTTGAAATAATGTTAACGTAGTTGTTATGTTTTTAAATTTTCATTTTTGGTGCATCACTAATTATTGGAAAGTTGGATGTGTTGTATTTATACTGTTTTTCTATTAAAATTGGTCTCCAGTAATATGTTTGAAAAATGCATCAGTGGGTTAATATACAATATTGTTCAATTATAGATGGGCAAATGCTATACTTTAGTGTAGGTTTGCTAAGAAATGAAGCTGGCTAAAATATATTCTTTGTCACAGGGAACAAACCAGCAAGTTAAAGCACATGAAGCCACCTCAGCAGTGCAGCATGTAGACTTATTGAAAGAATGGAGTAATTGTCTAGAAAACAAGGTACATCTCCTGCTCACGTTATCTTTCATATTTAATATATTTTACTAATGAGCACAGGTAAAATTCTGGAATTTAAAATGATTGTCTTCAGTTTTAAATGCAATAAAATGACTTAAATTTAAGAGCAAATCCAAACCAAGCTGCCTCATAGTTAAAAATAAACATTGAAGTAGTTTTCTTATTCATATTGTGCTTTTAGCTGGATGCTTCTCATAAAATACTTCCCATTGGGTTCATCTTATTTAGAAAAGAGTTGGGGACTTTTAATAATAGAGCTGAAGACTTTTATCATTTACAACTGATTAACCATCTCTGACAGAGGCTGTGCCAGAAAATGTTACTGCATTTCTGTTTTTTTATTCCTCATAGAACTGTAATGCATCATTCACAGAATTAATTTCTGCTATATTTTATTGCGAAGTAAGGTTTATTCTACTTGTTGGATCATGAAATTGTATACTAAACTTATCTATAATTGTTCCAACTCCAGTCCTTTTCCTTTTTGTTCTTTCTTCTTTACTCCCCTTATATAACAAGTATAATAATAAATATAGTACACTCTACCATATACATTTTTAACATTAGACTTCCTTAAATATACATTATCAGTAGCCCTATGTTATATAGCAATGAAATAAACCCACCAGTCATGATGTTAGCTTCCTTGCATCCCAATAACAGGAGTCAGTATTGGCTATTTAAATTGTAGCAATCAAGATGTTAGCTAAATCAATTTAAAGTTTATTTCTGCACTTCTCAAAATCATTAATGCCCATGCAGATGTCTGGAATATTTGTGTGTGTTCTCTCAATACCTTAAGTACTTCAGAGAGAAGGAATGAATATCACTGCTGATATTGGAATTCTCTTTTCTACTCCATCTCTATCCCCACTTAGGGAAATGCCAGAGAACATGTTTTAGACAGTTGTGCTTCTATTCTGTTGTTTCTGATTAAATGGTTTTTCTGTGTTCCAAGAAAAACAGGCAAAATGGAGAGATGGCATAAGTCATCTTCATATGCAATATTAACAATTCTTCTAGAATATTAACAATATTATGCAATATTAACAATTCTTCTGGAACTAGTCAAAGTTCTCAGCTACCTCACCAAAGTACAGTTTCTGTTCTAGTATTCTGTAAACCTAGAATATCTCAGTAACATAATAGGAAATATATAAAAACACTGTTTTCTGTTCAAGGTGACTCAAAGGTAGAAGTGATATCTAACACAGCTGTTCAGATGAAAGGCAAGTACGTGGTTTAGAGTGCATGAGGATACCCCTGCCATATCCATCTGCAGTCGCTTAAAGCAGATTTATCTTTTCCCAGTAGTGCATAGTTGTTCCTTCACAATCCTGAGAAAAGATGTGCTTAGTTTAAGGAGTTGCAGATAGGTATTCTGAAACATTTTTTGTCTTTGAATCTCAAAAGAATAGCCCTGGGACTTGACATACTTAAATTGCAATTAAACAATGGTTTCTTCAGAAACGTGGGCTTTGCCATTTTTGTTGGAAAACAGTTTTGTATGGGTAGAGCCAAGTTACAAATTCAAGCCTTACTTTTTTTTCCAGACTGGCTTTCAAGTGTCAATATTGATAATCTTAAGTGAAATTTGAACCTGATTCTCATCGTTAATAAAGCTTTATGTAACATTTCTTTCAAAATACTTTTCTTTTGATTTAGTTATATTGGATTTCAACTCCAAAGTGATTTCCAGATAGCATGGCCTTTGATGAGAATTGGTCAAACATCTGGAAAGCACCAGTTTGGGTAAAATGTTAATATGTGAGAAGTTAGAAACATTCTGTTATCCGGGTTGTCTTAATAAATAGAATACGAAAAAGACACAGGATATTACGTTATGCTATTGCACATTTGGGGACCTGTTAGATTCCAAGAGCCCAAAGCAATAGAGTCCAGTATTCAGTTTAAAAAAAAACCTATCTAAAGGGTTACAGATTCCAGCGCCATATTACATGCAACAAGTACCAATGCACAATCTGAATATCTTTATATACATCCTTTCTAAAATAGTCAGGAATCATCTCATCTCTTACAAATTGTATTGCCTTTGATATTGTGTTGTAGCTTTGTCATCCTAAACTAGAATATGTGAACAGGTACACTGGGTGTTCCCTGAGAGAATTCTAGAATAAACACTTATTCATAGAGCTGAGATTAGCAGGGGAACTTAGTATGAATATAAAGCAGTACTTCTGGGGTTGTGAATGATACTTGTGTGATCCCACCTTGGAAGGTTACCTAATCTGCCTGAGGCTGGCTCTGAAACGGTAGGAAGTAAGCTAAATAAAAGTTTTTAGAGTTTTTCTATGCCTAGGCATACATCTTCATTTGTGTGTTCTGTTTTTTAAAGTTCAACATTCTACAAATACTGTTTGGGTTCCAGAGCAAGGTGTTAGGAGACCATCCTCTTTTTAAAAAAAAACAAAGAAGGGTTAGTTGATCTTACATAGTTTAATTACTAACGGTAGAAAAAAATAGATTTTGTCTATTTTTGTGTGTTTTTACTGTTATGAATAGTCAGGGCCAGGTTGGATGGATCATAGATGTTTATCCTTAGCAGTTTTCAATAAAGTTTACTTTACATGAACATTTTTCCTAGTTGCTCTCAGTTTTAAATATAGTATATAGAATGTGCCTTTGGCAAGACAAGAGGGCTGAATTCCAGGTGCAAGATATTTTTAGGGAAGAAAATACAGTGATGAACCATGTGCAAATTCTCGTGGGGGACACATGCTGTGAATAAAATGTACTAGTTAGCCATCTTTTATGAAACTGTTCAAAAGTCTAGAAAGTTGGCTGAGAATTTCAAGGAAACAAAAGCATGGATTGATTACTTTCTGGGAATATCAACAAAGCTTTTCCCTCTCATTTTTTTCCTTTGTGTGATTTCATTCATAAAATTATTACAGGCTGATTTTGGCTTTCATCACTTGTAGTTTCACTTAATTACTACATATACAATAGCTTCAGTTCTGGACACAGAACACATCCCCAGTAGGTTTATTTTGTTTAAGAGACAAAGCAGGATGACACAATTATCTCCATCTTACTTCTTTTGTAATTCATTGATCATGAGAGATAACTGAAGCTTTTCCACATTTGGAGGAATAATTTTAGGTTTTTTTTCCAGGTGGCCATGCTCCAAAATGAAAGCTTGGAAAAGAACAAGAGCATACAAACTTTACATAATCAAATCTGTAGCTTTGAAATAGAAATTGAGAGACAGAAGGAAATGCTGCGAAGTAATGAAACTAAAATACATCACTTACAGGTAAAATTTCGGTTTTTCTTCCATTAAAAAACCCCAGAAACCATCTCCTTAGGTTTTGGTTTTCATGTTGAAGAGTAGTCAAGTCTGCAAACCTAAACACTTCCCCACGAATAAGCTATCCGTGAATAGATACCATGTTTCCCTGAAAATAAGATAGGGTCTTATTTTCTTTTGACCTCTGGAATAAGCACTTGGCCTTATTTTTGGGGAAGTCTTATTATATTTGAGGTGCAGAAGGTGGCGAGCGTGGTCACCTCATAGCTGCTGCTGTGTTGCAATATTTTCAGGGAGGGCTTATTTTGGGGGGAGGGCTTATTTTAGTGCATGTGCTCAAAAGCCCAATTGGGCTTATTATCCAGGGAAGTATTATTTTGGGGAAAACAGGGTACGTGTTCAGGAAAACAGGGCCATGCAATGTAGATGCACCTTGATAGCACCTTCTTGGTTATCTTCAAGAAGTTTAATGAAAACACAGGTGCAGCTTTTATGCTGAGAATGTATATCATTATTTGTAAATCCAAATGTGTTTAAACGTCACTTTTCTACCTCAAATAGCGGCATCCATTTATTAATGTAAATTGTACACATATTGTATGTATGTTAGGCTGATGATTATTGTTCATGACTTTCTTTTTTCCCAAGACAGTGGGTTAAAATAATAACGCTCTCTACATATTTTGATTATTTTTATTAAAGAAAATACATTCTGGGAAACTTTTTTTAAATGATTTTTTTGTCGCGAGAAAGGCAGGGCATAGCCCAATTTAGGTACAGCTGTGTTATTTAACGATCTATTGAGGTCATATTCTAGTTCATATGTCTTGTTCAGCAATTTTATATCTTTTTTAAAAAGTCTGCGAAAATGCAATATTTTCACTGAATTTTCAAATGTTATAATTATGGAAGGAAAGTCATTCTGAAATGCCACTGTAGATACTTTTCAGTATGGTTCTTCCGTGATACAGTGAACGGAAAGAATTTGAGAGTATCTTTCTTTTTTTCTATAATGTGTGAGTAATTGAGAAAAGTAGACTTCTTTGTCTATACCAGGGATGCGGTGGCTCAGTGACTAAAACACTGAAATTGTCAATCAGAAAGTCTTATTGATATGCCTTGGCCCACTAAAGATTAGGAATCAGACCTCCTTTCTGGTTGCTTAATACATTTATATTTTGCAGTGATATAGCTGGTACAGTTGGAAAGGAGCAGAGAACAAGTTTTGCAATGATTTTTCACCCCAAGATTTTTATCACATACTTACTGTTTCTCTTTGTTGATTTTGCCTGGCCAAAGAGAATATAGCAATATATCTCTTTTTCTCATTATAACTGTAATAGTAGTATTGTGTTATTCAAATGTTTCAGTAAACCTCCTTCCTCAGCTAAACGGATGCCAAAGATATTTGTTTGTTCAAAATTGATTGAAAAGACTTGCCCAGATTTCTAAGGTTTCTTAAATTTTATTTTTACTTAATTGTTTTACCTTTAATAAGGTTTATTAGATGGGTGAGTAATACCAGAGTATCGCACTAGGTCCATCATGACGAACCTATGGCACACGTGCCAGAGGTGGTATGCAGCACCTTCTCTGATGGCACACGAGCTGTTGCCCCAGTTCAGCTCTGCTGTGCACGAGCCTTCCGCCAGCCAGCTGCTCTTCAGGTCTCTACGGCGCATGCCTGCGGGCTAGGAACATGGGGCAGCACGCACATGCGCAGGGGTGGGATGTAAGCATGGAAGGGGAGCATGCATTGCATTTTGAGGGTTCGGGCGCATGCAAGCGCTTTGGGCACTGGGTCCAGAAAAGGTTAGCCATCACTGCACTAGGCAGTCATGTCTGATTTATTTGAAATTCTTATATAATTACTATGTAAGTTTATTGTGCAGTATTAAGTGTTCCCTGTATATTATTTTCCTTGAGGTTCTTCTATATTTATGCAATTTACTTTTTTCTAAAAGCGGGTAATAGATAGTCAAGCTGAGAAGCTGAAAGAACTAGACAAGGAGATTCGACCTTTCCGACAGAACTGGGAAGAAGCAGACAACATGAAGAGTAGTGTTGAGTCCCTTCAGAACAGGGTGACTGAACTGGAAAGCATTGATAAAAATGCTGGGCAAGGAGCTAGAAACACAGGTAGGTTTGAACATGAGATGGTGAAGTAACGGCAAATTCTGACAAATTAGACATTCTGAAATGTGGCTGCCCTGTAACCTCTTGCAAGATAGCTATTTATTTAACCTGATTCTTTTATTAATTTGCATAATGTTTATTTTAGAATGTTTATGCTGCTAAACCAACAGAGCTATTCTCCTGTCAAGCCCCATTAGAGCAAAGTGGTATATATAGCTTGCTAAGAGCCATAAGGTTGATAATGCTATGAGTTAACTTTTGATTGTTCTTTAGGAAAAAAAGGTTTTCAGAATTCCAGAGAAGATTCATTTCTTGAAATACAGTATATAAAGTCTGTATTCAGAAAATGAATAGCAATTGTCTTCTAAAGGCAGAAAAAAAACGTATTTAATTACATTATATTTTGCTTGATACATTCCCCATTTATAGCTTGAGGTGAGTTCTACTATAAAGCTTAACATCATACATGTTTAGTTCAGAGGAATCTTTCTTCTGAGCAGCACAATGGGATCAGATAAAATAAAAAGGTCATTGCCTCATTTGAATGAAGCAATAAAGCCACCAATTAGCAATGACATGTATCTTTCTAAGAGGCTCACACAATACTGTTTAGTCAATTGAAAGACAAATTAGCATATAAAAGGATTGCCATCTATTAAAGCACCTTGAATCACTCTTCATTCATTACAGAGCAGTACTATAGTCATTCAGAGCTTGAAGTTCAGGTAGCTTCTGCTGGTGATTGAAATTTCATAAGCTCCCATTCCAAAGAGAGGAAAGTGACTCTTGTAAGCATGGAGAATTGATTTACTAAGGAGAATTTTGAGAGAGATTAAATTCCCCAATAATATTTAAAAAAAACATTGAACTAGAATAATAGAATGTTTAAACCACGGAAAATATGATTTCTGCACATGTGCGCAAATATGCCTGCACACATACCTCCCCCACATATACAAACTTGCACTTACCTTTGGAACATCTTTCCTCCAAAACCTTAAAGACATGGTTGTGTCACTGAACTTGGGAGATCCAGATGGGGTCTAAGACAATTTGCCCTGGCCAAGTCACCACAGCTAACTTGCCACCGCCAATTCACTACAAGGTAACCCACTGCAGGACTAATATCAAAGAAATAGTGGACTGGAATCATTAAAGAAAGGATGCAAAACAAGAGATAGAATAAAATGTGAATGACAAATATTAGAATATTTTCTAATTTATTTTAAATAATTACATTGAATTGTTAAATTGTCCCACATGAGTTCTTCTGTGGCAACTTGGCTATAGCGAGTTAGCCACAGTGAGTTTGGCTGTGGCGAGTAAACTGCAGCAAGTTGTTCCATTCCATCCAGATGTGTGGTAGAGGCTGTGATTTGGCATTGATTTGTTTACTGGTTCTTTTGGGTTTTTTAACTTCAGTTGCTGTTTACTTATTTAATTCAACTTTTATGGCCATCTTGGTCAATGACTCTGGGCAGCTTGCCATTCAATATATATAATTGTTACCTTGTTTTATGGTATGGTGTATTCAATGCTGTTAGCTGCCCAGATCATTCATTTGAGATGGGTGGCCAAATAAATTGAAATAAAAAGTATAAGTACATAAACATTCAATACTTAGTCACACCCCAGGAAGGAATCCTTTTATTTGTGTAATTTTGCAGATGTGTGACTGATTCACAAAATTATTTCTGAAGATCAAAATATTAATTTGAAGGTGATTTTTCATTAATTTCACCCTAAGCTTTTTGTATGTTTTATACTATGGAAACACCTTTTGCCAAGATCCATCAAGTCTGGGTGTTCTTCACACTGAATTCTAAAGTACTATATAGCCATTTATTGTTAAGTAACTACCTTAGTCTGCTACCATTCACAAATATGATGGTAAATATTAATTTTGCACTGATGACCAAATTTCATGTGTCTGATCATGCCCATTGGAGTGAGAATAACACTGGTGTAGCCGTACAAGAGAATTTTATCTGAATGAGAAGATCAGCAACCAGTGATCTTTGCAGCAAGGCTCACATGTTCATTTAGCTATCATATTGCTTAAAGACCTAGTGGGTGTAAATTTCATTTTAAAATCTTTTTTAAAGTCCCTTGTTTTCTTTCTAGGTCTTCTAGAATCACAGTTATCTAGGCATGATCAAATGCTAAGTGTTCATGACATCCGTCTGGCTGACATGGATCTCCGATTTCAAGTCCTGGAAACAGCAAGTTACAATGGAGTATTAATCTGGAAAATTCGAGATTACAAACGTCGAAAGCAAGAGGCGGTTATGGGGAAGACTTTGTCCTTATATAGCCAACCATTTTATACAGGATACTTTGGCTATAAGATGTGTGCCAGGGTTTACCTCAATGGAGATGGGATGGGCAAAGGGACGCACTTGTCTTTGTTCTTTGTTATAATGCGGGGAGAATATGATGCATTGCTTCCTTGGCCATTCAAGCAAAAGGTCACCCTTATGTTGATGGATCAAGGACCTTCTCGGCGCCACTTAGGAGATGCATTCAAGCCAGACCCCAACAGCAGTAGTTTCAAGAAACCCACTGGGGAAATGAATATTGCATCTGGTTGTCCAGTCTTTGTTGCACAAACTGTTCTAGAAAATGGAACATATATTAAAGATGATACTATTTTTATTAAAGTCATAGTGGACACTTCGGATCTACCAGACCCCTGACATATAGCAGAAAGGCAGATTCAACAGAAGACAACTCCATTTGGGGCTTTTTTTTATATCTGTCTTCAATGAGAGGTCCTTAAAGCTCAGAGAGGACCACTTTATGTTAACAGAGGAAGAGTTTGGAGGTATAACTTGCATAGGGTCCAATGGCAAACATAGCAACCCATTAAAAAACCATAACTGTGGTGTATTTTCTAAACTAATAGGAACACTTCAAGTTCTGACAAGTTACTTAATCCTCATGAAGACAAAGATCACTGTCAGAAAAGCTTTTTGTAATTTATTGACAATATTTTGGGAGAGGAAAAAAAAAGTATCTTATGCTGAATACGACATCAGACTTTACTTTCATTTTAACTAGAAAATAAAAGTTCACATGTGGGTTAGCTAGAAACTGTCAGCATGTTAAGTAAAAAAAAAGAAATTATGAAGTATTGTTGCAGTTAAAGATATTATTACTTTGAACATCTAAGTGCAATGTTGTCTGAAATACAGTATATTGTCTATTTTTAAGGCCTCATCTGGTCTCTGTTTTAAAAATTACTTTGTCAGAAGACCTTGACAAAAATGTCTAGATCTTCTTGAAAGTGTCTAAATCAGAGTCATATTTTTGTTTAGAGTTCTATTAATTGCTACAGAAAACATTTTATTTTAAAACTGTGGATAGACTGATATTTCTTGGAAGAAAAAAAAAGATCAAATGCAGGTTATCACTTGTGATATGAAAAGAAACTATTCAATACTGCTGTTATTTCTCTTTAGAAATGTAAACCTACAATATATGTCGTAGTTAATGACACTATTTCAAAATTAAGGAAAAAAATCACTCATGGATGCTGTGCATCATTATCAGATTTATAATTTTCACCCTAAAATAGGGCATTTGTTGAACTTTGGAGTTCTAAATGGAATCCTGTATGTTTTTAAAGTTCTGCCTCATGCGCTCAGACCAAGCTCTATAAAATAGATGTGTGTATATAAACATATTATATTATATTTTTTGCTAAAGCATAAATGTGCAACATATTTTTTTGGGTTTGAGAGGAGGCATAGTGCTGAGTAATACCTATATGGGAAACTGCTAATTAATCCTTTAGGTAGAAATTTTTTCTATCTTACAGAGGATATCCGTTAGGAGAAAGCAGTGTCTTAATGGAGATACGGTGGTGTGCATGCATTCATGTGCCTTAGCTGTGACGTGCTGCTTTATAGCTCATAGTTTTGTATTCAGACTTTAATTTCAGATTGTTAGAATACTTGTTTTAACTGGACTTTAGGCATAATGTGCTGACTGATCTGTAAAACCCACCAATATTTTGCAGCATACAGAAATGGAAACCCAGATTTGTGTCTGTTTCCATCAATGAAATACTACTTATTCAGGTGCTATATTTTTTGTTCACGGTGCTCCTATGGAGCTAGGACTTCTGACAGTGCCCCTTCCCTTCAGTTTCCAAATCAGTAGTGAAACTGCTGCACGATAAAATGCCTCAGAGTAGCAGAGCTAATCATTTCAATTTGGCTCAATTCAGAATTGTAAAAGAATAGATTTGCTAGCCAATTCACAATGATGGTTTTCTGGCAAACTGACACCTATCCCTGCAGGGAAACCCACAGGAGCCTCCTACTTAAACAACTACCTGAGCTTTACTAGAAAGCATTCTCCAGCCTTTAAATCATGCAGATTGCAACCCACAGAATTTACTTACTTCTGTTTTAATAGTCCTTTGTGAGACTAGTAAGTCTAATGGCATAGCTTGAGCGTACACCAACCATGTGGGTGCTGCTTAATTGCATGGGTGCTGTGTAATCTGAATGCTCCCCTAGAACGAACTGATGTGGATCTGGAAAAAGAAATTGTGTGGCCTGTTGTCTAGCCAGTGATGTTACATCCATTGAGCTTTCCTCTTACGTTGGGCATTATAGACAGAGTTCATGTCTAGGACTCAGTTGAATTGTCATGTTTCATTGTTGTTTTTCTTGCCCTTGCCATTGGTCTTTATGGCTGTGCCTTCCTACCCAGTGCCTGCAAGAGGTATTTTTCTGTTAATAAATATACAGTGCATGCTGAATGGTTTTCATGGGTTTTCAAGCCACCTGCTTGAATAGGGCCTGCTATTGGGCAGCCAGAGCATTTTGTAGCAATATGTCTTCCTATTCTTGCCTTCCATTATTCAGGTGCTGTATTCTGTCTTTCTTATGGTTCTTAGGTGTCAACTGGTACAAATCAATGTAAGAAGGCAAGCGTTACCATTCTAGTTCTGATACAAAAGGAAGACTTCCTACTCAAGATCTATATGCCACAATTTTACGCAGGCTGATGTAAACCCATCACCTTTTCTTAGGGGAAAGAATTAACCTGGCTTCTCATACTATTCTAATAGTCATGAATATAGGTAGCTGAGCTTTTGTATATGCATTACAGAATTTTACTGAAAACAGGATTCCCTAGTGAAGATGTCCAAAGGGCTCAGTACCCATAGCTTCTGCATCATGCAGTTAATGTCCAATTGAAATATGTTAGTTGTGTTCTATAATCTAGACTATTCTAATATGGCATTGTTCCTTCAAAAATAACCTTTATTCCAAAAACATCTGAAAACGCAAATTGAGTAAAAAAAAATTCTAATTCTTTTTCTTAAATCAACAAATTGCCAATAACAACTTTGGCTTATATATTCTAATTACTCTGATGTGCGACAGTTTGAAAACCTTTTATACACACACACACACACACACACACACACACACACACACACATTTAAAACACAAATTACTTAACTTGTCTTATTGGGCTATAAAATTAGGACTTGTGCACTTTATTAAAACTTCCTTGTTAATAAATAAGACCAGATATCCGCATATTTATGGCAGCTGTTATGGCTCCATTGCTATAGCTATTTTTCCCACCATTATGTGAAGTTTTTCTTTTTGCCACACCTGTAGATCAATGCAAGTGCTGGAATTTCTGCTGTAGAGTCTGATAGCTGATAAAAATAACTTGTTTCCCCAAAGCACAAAAGTATAAGCTCATGGTTCTTTTTAAAACCAGCACCCAGAAAGGAGGAGCAGTAGGGATGAGAATACTCCCATTCAAAACAAAACATACTGTTCAAAAGATTAGCTTAGGGTTATCTTCTTATATATTTTGGTGTTGTCTTTTAGAAACAAATGCTTTCTTCTTCAAAATGATCCAATTTTAACGCTGTGAACATACTTTGTCATCCACATTGGCTCACTAATGCTTTTAATATAGCACAGCAAGCTAGCCAGCCAATTATTGACAAAATTATTTAGTTCAGACAACCTTAACATTTTCTGAAGTAAGTTTTCTAGGATGGCTGTAAAGTTACATGTTCTTAATGATAACACGTTTTTTGAAAAAGATGCTTATCCAAAAAGCTGAAAGAACGATAGCTTATATAGTATATATCTCCAGTATTCTTCACAGGATGTTTGTTTAGTCCATCATGAATAGCCCCAGTTTATGGGAAAAAATTGTATCCTGAAATGTAGATACAGTAAATTGAATATGACATATGAATAGGATTAGAATTTGCATTTATATTTTATGTATTTTACCTCCCTTAACATTCTGAAAGTATTTATCCATGTTAATCCAATCAATAGAGAAAAGTCCAGTCACTGCCCTAAATAATAACTTTCATGATTGATTTGATCATATAAGCTTATATCTTTTCTTGGCCCTGATTTATGTTGAGATAGGGCAGAAGAGACGATGCCTGCCTACAAAACTAGCTATCTTGGTATCTTCTCTGAACTGAGAGAAAAGTGTATTAAAAAGTCCAAAGCTATTGCTCTTTTTCTGGAAAAAAATGTGAATATGTTATTTTATCTCTCTCTCTCTCTCTCTCCCTCTCTCTCTCCCTCTCCCTCTCCCTCTCCCAAATGCTATCATTAGTACTGCCCTTCAGTGCTCTTACTCCAAAGTTGCACTTGATATTACAAAACATCTTGCATGTCTGTGAGCTACTAAAATTCTCATGTATGTTTGATTATTTTTAACCTTCATTAAGATAAGGCAATCATTTTTAATCAACATACCTCAAATGGGTAACATAAAGAATGCATCAAAATCCGGGAGTCATGCTCCCATGGGATTTAAATGTGGCAAAGTTGCGGCCTCTTCAGTGCTGCCACATTGCCACAGACATGATCATCATTTCCAACTCTCCTTGCAGCTTCCTACAAGAAAAGTCAATGGGGAAGCCACCAGGAAGATGGAAGCCACTCCTGTTCCCATAACTATTTTTTACCAGCCCATGATCATTCTGTTTCTTTGTTTAGGTAGGGAAATATCTCTGAAATGATTATCCCAAGGGGCTCATGGGAGGTTTATTTCAATGGAAATGCATAAAATTCAGTATTAAATCAGGTTTTGGTTATCAGTGTTTTAAGGACTTCTTCACTAACTACAGTATCAATGCTGTTACTTTCAATTCACCTTAGATCTCCAAGCAGCTTTGCTCCCTTATATTTTAACAAAGCACTTTAGTCTGCCATCTCATATTGTGTCATGCTAACCTATCTATTTTTAATCTCATAGAATCCAACCAAGATTATTTCAGTGCCTAAAGATCAATATGCATGACTGTGTTTGTATTGTTTTACTGTTTATTTTGTTTCAATTATTTACAGTAAGAATTTGGGTGGCTTATATGCAGCATTCATTTTCCGCCTTATATTGTAACTTTCACTGCTTTTGAGAATGTAGAATAGGAAAAAAAGTAGTGGTATTACAGATAATGGAATGTAATTGATCTCTTAATCTGTAAAGGTGAGATACACTCCAATCTCTTTTCAAAGCTACCTTCCCTATACCGTGAGAAAGAGCATAAGGAATATTTGAGTATATGAAACAGTGATGTTAACAGTTGGCCAGTCTGTTTGAATTCTAGAATTTTAATTTAATAATCTGGTCTGTCAATGGTTGAGATTGCATTATTTTAAAACGTTACAATTTGCCTTGAGAAACTTTAAAAGAGAAAACACTTGTTTATATTGCTTTCCTAGCTTCTCAAAATATGGTATACAACATGGCTGCTAGTGATTACTACAGGAGATACTTTTCTGCACCTTGATGATTTAACAAAAATTCTGATATCTCCTGTCATTTTGATGCCTTCATACATGCAACTATGCAAATGTATAAATAAGTGGATAGATTTTAAAAAAAAAGTTTAATTCTGCTATAGGCCTAATAATTTTGTGGGACATGTCTGAAGTTTTCTCAGCGGTTATTCTCAAATTGCCCTTTAAAATTGCTTAGCAGCTGATGGACAATAGCAGAATCTATGTTTTGCATTCAAAAGATTGCCCCCTCCCCTATTCATCTCTTGGCACTGTTAGTCTAAAATTAATAGATAACAGATAGCTACTGCCCAGTCCTTGAAACGATAAAGTCAGCCAGAATAGCCAGTATGGGATAGATAAGATAATTAAAGTGACTTCCCATTTTCCTATTACAAAAGTGGGAGGGGGCTTACGTCACAGAGAATATGTCCTCTTGAAAAACTTGTGTGCCAAATCTAATGTAATTAGTCTTTATCTGACGGGACAGTTTTTAATTTCCTACCTGCTTGTTGTGAAAGTGAGGTTTTGGGGATGCTACTAAGTTATTATTCAACAGTAAATGCTCAGGATATGTAAAATTCAACTTTGCTTAATATAAAGAAGTAGTTTATTGCTGCTTTAAAGTACACTTGTGTTGGATGGACTGCCACAAATGTTAAATGTGCTCTTTTTCAGACCAAAAGTGAGGATAAAAATAGGTAGATCAAAATCGGAGCTATTATACAGGCGAATTGACAGCATGAAAATGTCTGCCAGCTTTCACAGTTAATTGTGTCTAATATTTTTTTTTCCTGTTTATCAATCAAAAATAATAGTCAAAACCAATGAATATGGGGTTTCGGTCAACTCCAAATAGTAACTTGGTGCTTGGTACAGTTTCCCTCTGTGCAGTGCTTTACTGATATCAATCAAGCCTCAAAATTGCTTATTTGTGTAGAAACTGAAATTGAATGTTCTATGGAGGGCAAGTCTGTGTAGGTGCTACATAGAATACCCAGGCTCTGACCTCCTTGTGCTACTTTTAGGCCACTAAACAATGTTATTTATTGCTGTGCCATAGAAATGGGCAAGGAACCTGCTTTTATCCTGTATAACTGACTGATCAGTCATCATGCTTTGGGAACATATTTGTCCGATGTACACGTTATGATGTCATTTTACTTTTGCAATTGATGAGATTGAGAAATTCAGTATGTATATTCCAGTGTGTGCCCAACAGTAATGATAACCTGTGTCTTGATTTCATAAAAACTTCTGGTAGAGCTTTTTTTTAAAAAAAAAAGATTTCAGTTTTAAGGGCTTTATTGGACAAGGTGAACTTAAAAATATTTTAAGCGCATGACTTAATTCTCTTTCTGTCAACTTCTGCACTGTGAATATTATAATTAAGTATTTTAAAGAAAATACATTGAGGGCTTTACTACTACTTCCTGCTTTTTAATATGAGGATCACTTCCAGCATAAATGTCTTGCATCCATGCATGACTCCTAAAGAATGTGAATATGAGATTCATTACTTATTGTGTGAATTGAAAGAGAAAAAAAATAGCTCATTGTAATAAATTTCTCCATATAGAATAGGGCTGTGCAAATTTCAAAGTAAGTCCTTTTTTTCAACAGACTTGAGTGAAACACCTCATTAAGCTGCTTCATAAAAGGAGGAACCTTCCTCATTTCTAATGACAAATTGAATCAATTACATTACTTCACTTTTCCTCCTTTGTGGGACCTCCTGTGATGATTGTGCAAATGCCAGCTAAAGCTGAGAAACAACACACATCACCTTGTTGGTGTATGTAGATTGTATGGCCTCTCCTCAATGAAGGGAATTTGTATCATTTCCCCATCTGAAGTCCTTCATAGAGGTGAATCTAAATAATCTCACATAAGCAAAATTCACAGTGAGGATAATCATTCATTAAGAGCCATCCTTTGAATGTAAAATATTATGCTGAAATTGATCTCTAATGTTGAGACTAATGCAAAATGGAGGAAAGTTGAAGCATTATTATGGCTGCAGAACATGGTTATCCTGTATGGTTTTAAAGTAGCATTAGGCCACAAAAAGAATTGATTAAATCTTTAATTATCTTCTAGCAAATTGGCAAGACAATGTAGCTTTTCGTCTTCCGTTTCATGAAAGTTTTAAGCCTAATCCTAAACATTTGCTTGTGGTTTTAGTATGATGCTAAGTGTATTGTGTTGTGGGTATACCTCATTTCAAGCACCAGTGTATCAGATGCATTAAAGTTTAGGATTAGGCAGTGCATATCTATAATACTTTTTCTTCCTTATTGGAAGCATGCAAGCACTCCAGATTTTATAAGCATTAAATTAGAATCCCAGGTCTAAACTCCCATAACATTTGAAATTAGACTTAGATCCCGTTCTCTTACCTTTGCTATTTTTTATCAGATAATGGATGGAAAGATTGCTTCTTTCCTTACAATTTGCTATTGCCACTTGTAGAAAGACGAGTTTCTAACTAAAGGGAGTTCTGATCGTGAACAGTTTGGTAAACCGGGGTTTTGAAATAAACCACTATTTTAAAATAACTCCTTTCCTGCTGAGACGATTCTGAACTTTAGCAGAGCTATTGCATTTGAACACAATATTTTCCAGCCAGGAACTCTTCTCCTGGCATAGTCTTTGTGCACTTGGAAAATGGGGGCAAATCGTTGAATTGCCAAGGCACTGAACCACCTTGTATTGCATTATTTTCTCTCTAGCTCTTTAAAATGTATATCTTCTACAGTTTGTATGAGAAAATAGTTTTTTTCACTGTGATCCAAAGCCTCCAGGGGTTCAGGATAAATGAGGATGTAACGGGACACCCCATCTTGAAATGATGGACTATGAATCTGTTATTTAAGACAAGTAGGATAACCTTTTAACATCCATAAAATGCCATTAATTCAATGCGATGGAAAAAATGGTCAACCTTTTCCAAGAAGAAATACCTGTTAAATGCATCAGTACTATGAACTCTGTACAAAATCAGTCTGTGTAAACTTGTGTGGTGTTTTATTTCATATTCTATTCTTTGGTAAAAGGTACATTGGTTGTGTTCTGTTTTCTGATCCAGAAACAAAGACCAAAGAAGGCCAACCTCATTTGATTGTGTATATTCTGCCTGTTTTAATTATAGATAGCTATAAAGGATACAGTGCAAGTAAGTGAACCTGGTAATCAATGATTTTTGTATTTTCTTTTTAAAGGAAAGGAAACTTTGAAGTGTATAATTTATTGCTCAGCAATACAATGTTGTTAATAACTATTAGCAACATATCCTAATTTCCCAATAGCATTATTCTATGTTGTCCTTCAGTTTGTTGTATTGTTATTTGGTATTTATTTGTATTTGAAGGTCTTGCTCTGTCTTGTGTTTTGATGCTAATAATTGAGAACAGTGTGTAGAATGCAAAACTTTGAAATGCTGAACTGTATTAAAGGGAAAAAAATAAACATAAGTAGGAAGTCATATTTTTTAAGAAACAGAATTGTGTTTTAATTTTTTCATGTTATATTGATGCACAAAATTAAAACATCCTTTTATCTATTTTCAGTTCACTTGCTTTGTGCCAATCCCTCTTTTGCTTTGTATTTCACTGCAAAGTATGCTACAGTTCACCTAACTAATATGTAACAATTTTAATATGAACACATTATACTCTAAACTTACAATTACACCCATATGGAAGGGTAGACCTCTTCAGCAGTTTCTTTTAATCTATAAGAATCATATCAGTGCATCAGCTGAGCAACCTGGTATACATGTTAGACTGTTTCTTAAGTTGGGGGGGGGAACTATCAGTTTCAATTTCCAATTTATTTATTTAAAAAGATACATGTCAAAAATGAGCTCTTTTTAAAGAAGAAATTAATATAAAATATAAATATTTTGATATTAATTTACCAGTTCAGTTTAGAGTAGTTCCCTGGACTTTATAGCATTGTCAAAACTTCTCTTGTCATCAGACACTGTATGTCAAGCAAAAGAAAAACAGGAATTTCTAGGTTTCCAAGGAGAGGGCTAGCAGACAACTGAAAATTCTTGCTGCCACTTACGGATTTTTGTGGACCTGATCTGCAATTATATATTAGGGTTATTTTTCAGGTGATATTAACATAAGGCTAGGTCACAAAGGAAATTAACTCACATGTAGAGTTTGGTTTAGCTACCATGTTCCTTCGAAGATATGAGCGGGTCTTATTTTCTTTTGATCCCCAAAAAAAGACTAGGCCTTTTTGAGGACTGTCTTAATTTCCCCACACACACACGCCTCACTTGGCCACTGGGCCTCTTTTGCGGCCAAAAGGAGCAACCCAGGTGCCTCGCCTGGCCACCGGGCCCCGCTTCTTTTACAGTCAAAAAGAGCGAGCACCTCACATTGTGCACCCTTGCCTAACTGTAACAGTCACTCCAGGTACCAGTAGCTGTCCACCTGAAAAAAGCCTGCCATCATCCACTCCAGCAAGACTGACCGTGCATGCGCTTAAATAGGGCCACGTTTTGGGGGTAGGGCTTAATTTTAACGCATGCACAAAAACAGTGCTGGGCCTTCTTTTTGGGGTGGGTTGTGTTTTAGGAGAAACATTGTAGATGGGAATATCTATATTCCTGTGTAAATTTTATAAGAATAGACATACTCAGTTGCTATATCCAAATGACGTCAAATGTCAAATTGAAGTATGATTCTAAGGAAAAGTGGAAAGTTTTAGGATAGATTGGAGTCTAAGTTACCTGAAGATTTTTCAATAAGATTGCACAATTTCAACATTGTTTAGAAGTGCTTCAAACCGTGCACAGGTACATCAATGCTGCTAATTGTCAAGTGACTTTATGTTTAGAGTTCCACTCAAGCCTGAAAAAATAGCACTGCTTCAAGAAGTCAATCATTAAGATTAATGCAGTTTTAATTAAAAGCAGATGTGCTATGAGAGGTCTACAGTGCTCCTAAATAAATTTCAAAGCATACTAAGCCCTATTATGTACTTGTTATTAAAGAAATTGTGCTTTGTAATTTCTTAGTATAAGCATAGATCTTTACAAATAATATACTTTTAAATACAAAAATTGGAAGCCCCAAGTTAACTGCCTGATAGACCTGTTGCCTGCCTTCAATAGTCGTCAATCTCTAAACATTGCCTCCTGCTTCCCCAACCGCTTACTATTTTCTTATCTCCTTTTCACCTATGCACCCACCCACGCTGTCTTAGTGTTTATGTTTGCAAGCTAAGGGCCTGGCAAGATATGGCTGTCTCTAGACATTAGCATGTCCTTGAAAACATAAGGAGGTGGCTCAATTAGCCATGCAGTTGGAACTCTGGCCCGGGTGCTTTGAATGAATGAATGAATGAATGAATGAATGAATGAATGAATGAATGAATATCTCTCAGGTTTCTGGAGCTGTAAAGTTTCACAACCCTTTTGAAAAAAGCATAAGCTATGCTGATCCTTGGATGGGAGGTATTTGCCTGGCTGCAGCTGTTTTTCCCAAGTACAGACAGCAATCCCAGATTCAATTCCACACAAATAAC